AGTTAGAGGGGATTGTACCATCGTTGTAGGTTGTGAGTAATATTCGCCCTCTGTGGTCCCCAAACGCCCTATATACATATACCAAGTGATCTTCGTGCATCCCATAATCTTCGCACGTCCCCTGAGCCTTGCACATAGTTTGTCGTGGTAGTGGGGATAGTGGTGGCGGGGCTGCTGGTGGTGGTTGGTGCTGCCTACTGAACTTTCCAACCTTAGGAATTTAAACATATTACAGCTGAATGTGGAAAGGGGGGAGGGAGAGAAGGGTGGAGGTGATAGTGATAATCAGGAGAGAGAAAGAGACGAAGGAAAGACACGAACCTGATTATGGAAGGAGATATCGTAGGAGAGGAGGTGAGGAAAAGGAGGAGAAGCAGAAGCAGGAGGAAGAGGGCGGGGGTTACCTAAGTGGAGTTTATGAAGTGGAGAAGGTGCTGGAAAGGGGTGAGGGTGGGGGGGATGATCATGTCACATTGCCACACCCTCCCTCCTTCACGCCCCCCTGGTGCTGCTGCCGCTTGGTTTATACATTCACATTTACCATTCACTGTGATATTGTGACGTCAGCCAAACGCATTGTGAGACCCCGAATAGTCACTAGTCACGCCACCTGCTGGGCTTACTGGGAGTTGAGGTTTGTGATGTTCTGGTATTGTGTTGTGGCATCGACCTTGTGAACCCCCCCCCGTGTGTGTGTGTGTGTGTGTGTGTGTGTGTTTTTGTTTGTGTGCGCGCGCTTGTTTGTTTGTTTGTGTTGTGTGTTTTTTTGTGTAGTGTGTTTGTTTTTGTGTGTGTGTGTTAGTTTGTTTGTTTTTGTTTGTATTAGTGTGTGTGTGTCCCCAAACAAGACCCACATTTGCTCGCTTCTCGCCATTGTCGTGTCAATAAGTGTTCAAAGTTGGTGCGACGCGGATATTAATTTTTTCCCCTTCATAAATTACAGGGTTAGTGTGGCACATCTAGTCATTATGTGTTGAGGTGCTGGGTATGTGTGTACACTATTTACCACCAGGTCATAGCCTCTATAAACCACCAGATTTGCCACCTCAACTTTTCTCATTTTTTTTCTCATTCCCTCATTTTACGTTTTTATATTCTCTTATCATTATTTTTTTTACCCCTCTGAAGATGACAAACATCATTACCCTTAGCCATCTGTCTGTCATTAATTCCCCCTAAAAATGATAAATCTAACTAATCCAAGAACATCAATCGAATTCACTTCAAAAGACCAAATTAACCTAACCCTCGACATATACAATAATGTTATTGTTTAGGTGGTGTAGTCGTATAAACATCAAGGTACAGTATATGTCAACTCAAAGTTCCCGTTACCAACTCTTAAGTGTTTATATCACAGGGGTCAAAATCACGGGAATGAGGTCATGGGCGGAGGCTTTAACCGGAGTATTGCTTCTATCATCAGTGTGTAGGTGTTTTGATGACTACATCCCCATGTGGATATGTATCACCCCCCATGCGGATATGTATCACCCCCCATGCGGATATGTATCACCCCCCATGCGGATATGTATCACCCCCATGTGGATGTATCACCCCACATGTGGATAAGTGTCACGAGACATTGTGTAGATACATCACCATAACCAGAGGGTAATGTGGACGGTGAGGATTATAGCTCAAGTCTATGCCTGAAAAAAACTTTAGTGTTTGTCTGCTCTGTCTGTCATATAGCGTGTGTGTGTTTGTACCATCTGTCTGGTTTGTCTGTACCATCTGTCCTGTTTGTGGACTTTATATTTTGTTTGTACCATCTGTCGTGTTTTCCTGTGCCATCTGTCTTGTTTGTCTGCCTTTCTTACCCACAATGGTCTCTTTATAAATGATATATATATATATATATACTCTTAACGACACAGTCCATCTCTCTCTCTCTCTCTCTCGTAACGACACAGTCCATCTCTCTCTCTCGTTTCGTTTATTAAATGTGTATGATTCTGAAAATGTTGTATGTATTTGTTTATGTGGGAGACCTCATAGTTGTTTATGTTCAGTGTTTACCTCACCTGTATGGTTGTTTGCCCCCTGTGGGTGACCTGACCTGACCTCGTTCTTATCACATGTAGGTAGTGTTCGTGTAATTAGCGCTTTCTTGCAGATATTTGTGACTGTTTACTGCCGCTGGTGTGGTATAATGTTTACTGCCGCTGGTGTGGTATAATGTTTACTGCCGCTGGTGTGGTATAATGTTTACTGCCGCTGGTGTGGTATAATGTTTACTGCCGCTGGTGTGGTATAATGTTTACTGCCGCTGGTGTGGTATAATGTTTACTGTCGCTGGTGTGGTATAATGTTTACTGCTGCTGGTGTGGTATAATGTTTACTGTCGCTGGTGTGGTATAATGTTTACTGCCGCTGGTGTGGTATAATGTTTACTATCGCTGGTGTGGTATAATGTTTACTGCTGCTGGTGTGGTATAATGTTTACTGCCGCTGGTGTGATACAATGTTACTGTCGCTGGTGTGGTATGTTTACCTGTCGCTGGTGTGGTATAATGTTTACTACCGCTGGTGTGGTATAATGTTTACTGCCGCTGGTATGATGTAAAATGTTGCTGCCGCTGGTGTGATATAATGTTTGCTGTCGCTGGTGTGGTATGATATGTTTACTGCCGCTGGTATGATGTAATGTTTGCTGTCGCTGGTGTGATATAATGTTTGCTGTCGCTGGTGTGGTATGATATGTTTACTGCCGCTGGTATGATGTAATGTTTGCTGTCGCTGGTGTGGTATAATGTTTACTGCCGCTGGTATGATGTAATGTTTGCTGTCGCTGGTGTGGTATGATATGCTTACTGCCGCTGGTATGATGTAATGTTTGCTGTCGCTGGTGTGGTATAATGTTTACTGCCGCTGGTATGATGTAATGTGGACCTTCATTTCATATTCTCGCGTGCATTGTTCCCAGACCATTGAGAGAGAGGAAGGAGGCGGGTGATGTGAAGCCTCCATCTGTTTATATATTATGTTGTTGCATGAGTTATAAGGTGCGGCGGGGTCATGAAGCTCTCTATACCACAGATGGAACCACGGCCATAATAATTCCCAGGAAAGAAAGAAAATGTGTGTGTGTGTCTGTCTCCGTGTTGGGTAGTTTCACTGTGGGGGGGGGCGACTTTGACTATATACTGTATAGTTTCTTTAGTGTCACTTGAGACGGGTTGGTGAAGAGAGAGAGTCATGTCGTGTGGGTCTTGCGTCAGCCCACGCTTATCTTCCTTATAGGCCCCCGGGTGCCGTATACCGTATATGTTTTACTCATTGGTGTAATATTGTAATGTTATACTGTTGTCGAGTTCTTCCTTTATTGTCGTATTATAAACGTTTGTGTTAATGTTTGTGTTTATTCTGGCTTTTTTTGGCTTTTGTAGGTTGCCCCCCTTTTTTTTACTTTTTTATGAGTTTTAGCTTGTTATAAATTACGTTTTTTGTTTTTTATGACTTTTTAGCTTTTTATGACTTACTTTTATATATTTTTTTGCTTTTATGTCTTTTTTTAGCTTTTAATATATATATATATATATATATATATATATATATATATATATATATATATATATATATATATATATATATATATATATATATATTATATATATATATATATATATATATATATATATATATATATATATATATATATATATATATATATATATATATATATATATATATATATATATATATTACTTTTATATCTTTTTTATATGACATTTTTATACTTTTTTAAGTACCTATCGGCCAAAGACCCCAAGTAGACTATAACCATGGTGAGGTGTCTGCTGTGGCCTGACCCTTACCGTAAACTTTTCCCATTCTCGGCTGCTGGGAAAAGCTGTTGGCTAAGATTATATTATACGTTCCTGATTATGAACCCCGAATGGCACAATCAGAATCTGTGTCCGAGGTTGCAAGATGGCTGAAGTTACGGGTATTGAACACATTTTGAACACAGTTTGAACTTGATATTTTCTTATATATAGCTACGGGATTAATGGTTCGGTTGTGTTGTAAGTTTTCTTTGGATGGCTTCTTTGTCAGATAATATGAGGCGACTGTTTCCCCTCCCTCCCATCTCCCCCCTGTCCCCCGTCTCCCCCCTCTCCTCTCCCTCTCCACCTCCCCCTCCCCCCTCTCCCTCCTCCCTCCCTCTCTCCCCCCTTCTCATTCTCTCTCCTTCCCTTCCCCCTCTCCTTCCCTTTCCCTTCCCTTTCCCTTCCCTTTTCCACCACCCCTTCCCTTTTCCCCCTCCTTCCCTTCTCCTTTCCCCTTTTCCCCCTCCTTCTTCCCCCTCCCTTCTTCCCTCCCTTCTTCCCCCTCCCTTCTTCCCCCTCCCTTCTTCCCCCTCCCTTCTTCTCCTCCCTTCTCCCCTCCCTTCATCCCCCTCCTTTCTCCCCCCCTCCTTCTTCCCCTCCTTCTTCCCCTCCTTTCTCCCCCTCCTTTTCTCCCCTCCCTTCTTCCCCCTCCTTTCTCCCCCCTCCTTCTTCCCCTCCCTTCTCCCCCTCCCTTCTTCCCCTCCCTCCCTTTCCCCTCCTTTTCTCCCCTCCTTCTTCCACCTCCTCCCTTCTTCCCCTCCTTCTTCCCCTCCCCTTCTTCCCCCTCCCTTCTTCCCCTCCCCTCTCTCCCATCCCATTTTAGGGCAACGTAATGATATTCTCCTTCTGTGTTGGGGAGACTGTTGTCATGTGCCGTGTTGTTGGTTTTCCCAGTAGTGTGTATGACGTCAGTGTTTGTTGTAGATAGCCGTCAGGATATCATTGACCTCTTGTTTATTTTTGTAGTGATGGTCTACAACAACAATAATAACAGAGCTTTTATTATTTTTTATGTATAAATATTAATGATTGACTTGTTCACTTAATATTGTTCATTTTTTATTTAATTATGTGTAATAGTGTTGTAGTATTGTTAATTAATGTTGCTTTTAATAATAATCTTTGTGCTCTTTGTAAACACTAATGTATTTCTTTTGTTTTCAGAAGGGACATTGTGGATGCGGCGGTGTGAGTGGTTGACCGTGATGGTGGAGGCGCGGCTAGGGGGCGTGGGCGGCGGCGTGGGCGGCTGGGTGTGGGTGTAGAGATGGGCGGCAAGGCGAGCACGGCAGGTGGTGGTGGTGGCGGGGGAGGGGCGGGCTTGGCTGCTGCTGGTGGACCCTCCGACGCCGCCGCCGCCGCCACCCGCTCCAGGGCGCTCTCCACTAGTGCCGGTAGGTGTCACGCTGTCCTTCCTTCCCTACCTACCTACCGTGTGTGTGTAAAGATGGTACATATTGTATAGGGGCGTGTTAATATGTTGTCAGCACACTGGTTTAATCTTTGTTATTAGATTCTTATAGTAGTTCACTTAATGCTACGTTCTTGGGTCACGTTATAGGTGAAAGGTGATGTAATTACCAGGTAGCTATACGGTTAGTGGTTTTGTGTATTAGTAAAGGGACAGTGACGTGGGTATAGAGTAGCACTAAACCACTGTCACGGTGATAACCAGTGAAGCACCACGTGAAGAATCTTATCCAGGAAGGAAGGAAGGAAACAAGCACACGTCAAGACTCACCTCACACATACTCTCACCAGCAAAAAGGAGGCACACGGAACACTCACAGCTAACACATGGCCCATTTCCTGGATGACCTGTTTCCCCTCCCCCCCACATACCCTCCTCTCCCCCTCCCCCTCTCTCCTCCCCCCTCTCTCCCTCCTTCCCTTCACCCCCTCTCTCCCTCCTTCCCTTCACCCCCTCTCTCCCTCCTGCTCCCTTCTCCTCCTGCCCCCCACTTTTGGGCTACAGGGACACAGAAATAGAGGAACGAGACACAACAACACCTGAGCTTAAGACAGAGATACAGACTGGTGACCTCTTGAGTGTGACATCCAAATAGATCTTATACCATCACACCTCAAGAGCTAAAATATATATACCTGTATACTCTCCCCCACCACCACCACTCCTTTTATGGCTCAAGCACCTGGATCCCTCCCCCCCCCCCCCCACCACTCCTTTTATGGCTCAAGCACCTGGATCACTCCCCCCTCCCCACCCTCCTTTTATGGCTCAAACACCTGGATCCTCCCCCCCACCACCACTCCTTTTATGGCTCAAGCACCTGGATCCTCCCCCACCCCACCCTCCTTTTATGGCTCAAGCACCTGGATCACCCCCCCACCACCACCACTTTTTATGGCTCAGCACCTGGATCACCCCCCCACACCACCACTCCTTTTATGGCTCAAGCACCTGTATACTCCCCCACCACTCCTTTATGGCTCAAGCACCTGGATCATCCCCCACACCACCCTCCTTTTATGGCTCAAGCACCTGTCTCCCCCCACCACCACTCCTTTTATGGCTCAAGCACCTGGATCACTCCCCCACACCACCACTCCTTTTATGACTCAAGCACCTGTATACTCCCCCACCACCACTCCTTTTGGCTCAAGCACCTGGATCACTCCCCCACACCACCCTCCTTTTTAGCTCAAGCACCTGGATCCTCCCCACCACCACTCCTTTTATGGCTCAAGCACCTGGATCACTCCCATACATCTCCTGGCAATGCTCTTCTCAGGGGGTAATAAATTCACAGTCAGGTGTGTTATTGAGCGTGAGTCGAATATGGAACTGCGCTATACAGTACTTACACGACATACTGTACGGATTGAGGATATCCAGTGTGTTGTCTAGGTGAAGGGTTTAATTCATAGGTGGGCATAGTGGGTGGTAGTGTGGTGGTTATGATGCAGTGGTGGTTGTGGTAAGAGTGACAGGTGTTAGTGTGGTGGTTATTGGTGTGCGGTGAGAGTGAGAGGGTGTTAGTTTGGTGGTTGTGGTATTGTGAAGAGTGACAGGTGTTAGTGTGTTGTGGTATTGCGGTAAGAGTGACAGGTGTTAGTGTGTTGTGGTGATGTGGTAAGAGTGACAGGTGTTAGTGTGTGGTTGTGATGATACAGTGACAGGTGTTAGTGTGGTGGTTGTGGTACAGTGGCAGGTGTTAGTGTGGTGGTTGTGGTACAGTGGCAGGTGTTAGTGTGGTGCTTGTGGAGGTGGGAGGAAGTGAGAGAGAGAGAGAGAGAGAGAAAGGAAAAAAACCAGGGGAGAAAATAGGGTCCTAAATAGTGTGGACCTTGATGGGTGGGGGTGTAGAGGAGCACCAGAGAAAAGCAGGTGTGTCTGCTGCTGAAGGGGGGTCAACCATTCATTTCTGTAGTGTGTTAAGTGAATGTGGTATGAGCTTGGGTGGAACCTTAACATCGACTGTATACTTTCTCTCTCCTTTTCTCTATTTTTTCTTTACTTTCATTTTCGTCTCTCTTTTTGTCTTTCTCTCTTTCTCTTTTTGCCGCCTCTCTATCTTTTTGTCGCCCTTCTCTCTCTCTCTCTCTCTCTCTCTCTCTCTCTCTCTCTCTCTCTCTCTCTCTCTCTCTCTCTCTGTAATTTTGTTGGCACGCGATAAATTTCACTGTTTAGACACATTTGCTGTGATGTGTTTTGTGTGTTTCTTCAAGGTCATTATAATAAAGTGTTTAGATAGATGTAAGATTGGATTACTACAGGTTAGGTTAGTTTAGTTTAGTGTTAGTTAGGAGTTTTTGATCCTTAAACATTTGTGATTCTTGAACGCCCGCACTGAAACTGGGACTGGTATTGTAAGATAGGGTTGTATGTATGAATGAATGTGTGTGTGTGTGTGTGTGTGTGTGTGTGTGTGTGTGTGTGTGTGTGTGTGTGTGTGTGTGTGTGTGTGTGTGTGTGTGTGTGTGTGTGTGTGTGTGTGTGTGTGTGTGTGTGTGTGTGTGTGTGTGTGTGTGTGTGTGTGTGTGTGTGTGTGTGTGTGTGTGTGTGTGTGTGTGTGTGTGTGTGTGTGTGTGTGTGTGTGTGTGTGTGTGTGTGTGTGTGTGTGTGTGTGTGTGTGTGTGTGTGTGTGTGTGTGTGTGTGTGTGTGTGTGTGTGTGTGTGTGTGTGTGTGTGTGTGTGTGTGTGTGTGTGTGTGTGTGTGTGTGTGTGTGTGTGTGTGTGTGTGTGTGTGTGTGTGTGTGTGTGTGTGTGTGTGTGTGTGTGTGTGTGTGTGTGTGTGTGTGTGTGGGTGGGTGGGTGGGTGGGTGTGAACCATGGGATCTTGCCACCCCCGGGTTATTTCTCACGTGGGTTGGTTGGTCGTCCTCGGAGCAACTGAGTTAAAGAGATCCCGGTATTTACGTCACAGAGAGAGAAAGATGGTCGGCGGGGGTGTTGTTAGTGGCGGCGTTGTGTTCACCCTGTCAGTGTGTGAGGAGGCCGCTGCAGGGTATACAGTATACTCTATATTGAGCGTCTTCATTCCATCGTCAGGTGTAATTTTCTTCAGTGTGTGTCACCAACCAGGAGCAACAGGAAAAAAAACCCGCTGTCAGGATGTTTGTCTTAAGTGATACATCCTCTTCCCCAACCCCCCCTCCTCCCTCCCTCTGCCTCCCTCCCTCCCTCTCTGCCTTCCCCTGCCTCCCTCCCTCTCTGCCTCCTTCCCTCCGTCTCCCCTTCCTGGGCACAGGAGTGCTTACTCTCAACACACCTCAGTGTTCTCATAACTTTAAGGAGAGTCATGAGGTGTGGTGACTTAGGGTACATCGTCTTCCCTGCTGTCATGATCTGTGTCAGCTGTGGTTCACCTCTAGCTGCTGTGGTTCACCCTCTAGCCCCCTCTTCCTCTAGCTGTGGTTCCCTCTTCTAGCTGTGGTTTCTCATCTGTGGTTCTTCCTCTCTATAGCTGTGGCTTCTCTAGTTCCCTCTCTCTCTAGCTGCTGTGGTTCCTCTCTTAGCTGTGGTTCCTCTCTTTAGCTGTGGTTCCCTCTCTAGCTGTGGTTCCCTCTAGTTGTGGTTCCCTCTCTAGCTGTGGGTTCACCTCTGGTTCCCTCTCTCTAGCTGTGGTTCCTCTCTAGCTGTGGTTCTCTCTAGCTGGCTCTCCATCTGTGGTTTTCTCCTCTAGCTGTGGTTTCTCTATCTGTGGTTCTCTCTAGCTGTGGTTCCCTCTCTAGTTGTCATTGTGGTCTCTCTCTAGCTGTGGTTCTCTCTAGCTGTGGTTCTCTCTCTCTTTGGTTCCCTCTCAAGCTGTGACCCCGTCTCAGCCCCCTGCCTCCCCCTCTTAACCCTGAGTGCTTTGATGGTGGAGTGTACTGTGTGTGTCCCTGCCATGGCTCACGTTACGGGCCTGAGTACGTCGCCGACTATGTGTGCTGCTGCTGATGTTAAGGCTCGAGCGACTGCTGAATTAAAGCCACTTAGGAAACTCGACCATTTCTCTAGAAGTATTTGCTTGTATTCTCGTGAAGTGTGTGTGTGTGAGGGGTTGGCGGGGGGGGGGTATATATATATATATGGTGCTGAGGATACGATGGGGGGTGGGGGGTCGTATATACCTGCACCGTACTTAGCATAAACCAATGGTGATGGTGGGTTTGTATGGCCTAACTTGCTTCTTTAATGATGACGTGAATGGTGGTGGGGCAAGTTTGTGTGATGTCTTTACTTGCCTCACTTAGGCTAATTGCTGCCTCACTCACGACTATGGCCAGGCACGAGTGATGGAGGCGAGTTGTTCTCTTGGGGTGCGTATGGTTATTACTCTCTTACTACTGTTATCCGGTTCATTGTGGTGTTTTTACATTGTATTCTTATTTTGATTTAGTTCGTCAGTGTCAACCGGAAGATGTATGGGAAATAACTGTCCGAATTCACGCCAGATATGAACAGGGGCGTCACACCGTATTACAGAAGCGTCACACTGTATACAGGAGTGTCACACCGTATACAGGAGCGTCACACCTTATTACAGGAGCTTCACACCATATTGCAAAGGTGTGATACCGTATACATAAGCGTCACACCATATACAGGAGCGTCACACCGCATACAAGAGCGTCACACCGTATTGTAGTAGCGTCACACCGTATGCAGGTGCGTCACACCGTATACAAGAGCATCACACCGTATACAGGAGCTTCACATCGTATACAGGAGCGTCATACCGTATACAGGAGCGTCACACCGTATACAGAAGCGTCACACCGTATTACAAGAGCGTCACACAGTATTACAAGAGCATCACACCGTATTACAAGAGCGCCACACCGTAGGCCGTGTTGGTTTATGGCGGGCAGCACCACGGCAGCCACCATCTCGGGGAATTACTATTTTAGGTTCTTGTGAGACGTCTTGACTATGGCCGCTGCTTTATATACAGCGTCACACACTTTATTCTCCTCTACCATGACCTGCCCGGCGGTGTGGTCAAGATCACAAAGTCCGAGCCCAAGACCTTCTGGGACCTACTGTAGACCATTATTAGTCGAGACCCGAGACCTTTCTGTGCATAAGGCGAGTTTTAGGGTTGACCTTTCTGTAGTAAAATATTAGGGTCTTGGCTCATACAAGTAAAATGTTTGTAGTGGGTGGTGGAAATCCATTGAAGTGTTACAGTAAGACATGGGAATATATACTGTATACGAACTGCCATTTGATTTGTATTCTTTTATTCCAATTTCATGAGTAAATAAACATAATAACTTTCTTGGGGTTATATATTACGCCAAGTATTTTGTTTTTATGTTTTATTTCAACCATGAGAAGTGTTTCATTACCACATTCAAGAAACATCAACACATTCAAGAAACATCAACACATTCAAGAAACATCAACACATTCAGTACATTTGTTGATGTTCGGTATCTATGGGGTCTTATTATTATTATCCTCCCCCAGCCAGAGCACGAGAGGTCAGCACAGCACTAAGATCAGTACCAGATTGACCAGTTATCTACACTTGGCCTTGTTCAGCTGCCATAACTAAATCAGAGTCACGTCTTTTACATGAAGCTCTTTATTTCCAGGTACCGCAGCCACTCGTGTCAGAAAATAAATAAATAGATAAATAAATAGTTTTGTGGACTCGAAAGGTCTTGTGCATAAATTGGAGACTACTTACCTGTACGTTACGTGTTTTACTCATCCACAATACAACTTAACCTTTTTTAGAAATTTAAGAAAGATATTAGAGTTTACGTCAATTTTTTTTTTTAGATTTTGCGTCAGTTTTTTTAGTTCGGCTTCAAAGTTTTTAATAAGGTTCTTTATCACCCACTAATTGCCACAGGTGTTTTATGTATATTCATCTGTCCGACACTACTTCAGAGTTACCTGCTACTGTACGTATAGATCACGTTAACTTCGAGCCAAGTGCACGAGTTGTAAACATAATCCAGAAACTGTTAGATTTAGTACGTAATCACAGGACTCACAGTACAGTACAGAGTTGATGGTCGGTCTTGGCAAAGTTGAATATACATTGTGTGGTATCTCTTGGGTATCTCTTTGGTACATACTTTTCTTCTTTCTCTCTAGTGTTGTGACTTGGTGGTAGTGGTGTAGCTGGGGGGGCTGTGAAGTGAATGTTATCTTTGTACCACGGCCGCCACACCTCCCCAACTTGGAATTGGCTCGTGTTCCCTGGTCTAACTTTTTTTTTTTTGCCTCCATGACAGAGAGGGAATGGTGGGTGCTCTCAGGCGTCGTAGTGGTTCATTGTGGTGTATTATTTTTATTCGAGGCTCTTCTGGAAGCTAAGAGAAACGCCGTCTGCTCGTACAATGCCTTCCTGATATATAATGAATTTGTTTTGGTTATATTCCTCACTTGAGCAGACCTTGATACCCTTCAGGTGCCGCAGGTGCTCGCTGTGTCACTAGATATATAGGCCTACCTTACTATAGTATTAAGAATGTTATGATTGAGTTTGGGTGGAAATGTTTAGTTGAATTAAAAAAAAATGTTTGTTGAATTTAAAATGTAAGTTTAAATGGGGTTCCTCAAGGATGGAGAAGATGTAACAATAACATAAGTGACTGTATCCACACATCTCCTAGTATTAATATTATTTTTATAGTTATTACTATTATTAAAATCCTTTGCTGGAGTATGGATAGTGTGTGTGTGTGTGTGTGTGTGTGTGTTTTGGGGTAATGCATTACTGGATACGATAATGATAAGAAGTGTTGCATGTTGTAAAAAAATAAGTTGTGAGAGAGTTTTGTATTTGCCTGCAGGAACAGCGGACAGTGAGGGGGGCGGGTCGGCGGTGGGTCTTCTGCGGTCGGCCAGCCAGGGCGGAGGCGGCGGCGGAGCCTCCCGGGACCGTACCGGGGACCGTGGCCGTGCTCGCTCTCTCTCCAGCGTGCCGGACGCCAGCGGCAACGCGCCCCCCTTAACCATCCCGGCGCTCCTTTCCCGGGCGGCAGCGGGTGGCGCTGGCAGCGAGACGGACGGCAGCTCGCCCGAGGAGTACCTGCTGGACGGGCCCCTCACCTCTCTGGGCCTGGGCCGGGTCTTCACCACACACTCTCTCCCCGCCCACCTTTGGTCCTTCAACGGTGAGTAACTCATCCCAGGCATGTTTATTCTCTTCCAACACGACCCTCTGTCGTCTCATACAGGTAGACACCTTACCTGTGTCATGGTGCCTCTAGTAGGCTCTCTTGTCTCCGTCCTTCTTACCTCAACAAGCATCAAACAGTCGTCGGAGTATAGTACAGTATACAGATAACTGAAGGTGAGTCCAGCAGCTCTACACCTGTAATGTATCAAGTGGTCGTGTTACGAAGATTTGTCTTGGTGTGTGTTGTGTGTTGAGGCATTACCTCGTGGCATCATGACTCTTGTTCTCTTGGTAATCAAGGTGTTATTTTTGTTGAATATAATAAACACAGGTTCTGTCTCCAATGTTCCAGACTTTATCGTACATGCATTTCAAATACTTGTGGGTTATTGTACAAATGTTTTTTCTCGAGTGTATGGCACCAAATATAATGGTCCACATTATAACTACATGAGCAGTACGGGACGCTGCACACCTTAGCTTCTCAGTAACTCGAAAGTTGACCTGACATATGCTGCCCGCTTGGGAGCCACACATCCGCATCCCTATTTGTACATACCGTACTTGTTCCGTCAACAGGTCTCTATGTGTCGTCTCTGTCCTCGAGTTGGGGGGAGGTCCTCGAGTAGGGAGAAGTCCTCGAGTAGGGGGGAAGGTTCTCGAGTAGGGAGAGGTCCTCGAGTAGGGGGAGGTCCTCGAGTAGGGGGAGGTCCTCGAGTAGGGAAAGGTTCTCGAGTTGGGGGCGAAGGTCCTTTCCAGTGTCGGTATGTTTACACACTCGGATTTAATTTTCCCCCAGGTAGCCAGAAATTGCAAGGGGTTGGCTGAGTGGTTGAGTGGGCTTATCGTAGTACTGAAAGTGGTTGAGTGGGTTAACTGTAGGACTGAGAGTGGTTGAGTGGGAATATTTTTGTTCTTCACTTCATATGTCTTCTTTTGTTATCTTAAATGTTCACATCTGGCCTTGGTGGTGATGAGTATGGTGGTGATGTGGTGTATGGTGACATTGTTGGTTATGGTGGTCAGGAGTATGGTGGTGTACTGTAAGGTCATCTTGTTGATAGCGAAGTATTGTTCATAATTAGGAGGGTATGGTGTGGTGATGGTGGGGGAGGTTGTGGTGAAGTTAAGGTGTGTGGTGTGATTAGGGTAAGGTGATGGTGTATGGTGTGGTGTACGTAATGTGTGTAAAATGTGGTGTATATAGAGTGGCGTTGGTAGGGTCTGGTGTGGGTAGTGTGTGGTGTTGGTAGCGTGGTGTGGGTAGTGTATGTTGGTATGTGTGTGTGTGTGTGTGTGTGTGTGTGTGTGTGTGTGTGTGTGTGTGTGTGTGTTTAATGTGGTGGTGTGGGTAGGATATATAGTAATGGATTTGTGGTGGGAGTCTGGGCGTGTAGTGGTGGTGGTTGGGTGAATGGGGTGTAGGAGAAGGAAGGGGAAGGGGGAGAGGGGGAGGGGGAGGGCAAACGATTATATTGATCAAGTAATTCAGGGGGGCGGCGTCACTGCAGCTCCACCACCTTCCCACAGCCCCGGGCACGCCACATTACTCTCCCCCTCCTCCCTCCCTGGGTTGGGTCACACCAGGTCATTGCACGTTATGCCTGATTCATGCAATGTCATGTGCTGGATCACGCTAGACACCATGGGCTGGGTCACTCGTTATGGCAGGTCATGGGCTGAGTTATGGTAGGTCGTGGGCTGGGTAATGGCAGTTCGTGGGTTGAGTAATGGTAGGTCATGGGCTGAGTCACGGTAGGTCATGGGCTGAGTCACGGTAGGTCATGGGCTGAATTATGGTAGGTCGTGGGCTGGGTTATGGCAGGTCGTGGGCTGAATTATGGCAGGTCATGGGCTGAGTCACGGTAGGTCATGGGCTGAGTTATGGCAGGTCATGGGCTGAGTCACGGTAGTTCATGGGCTGAATTATGGCAGGTCATGGGCTGGGTTAGTAGTTGTTATATGTCATGGGGAAAATAGACAGAAGACGGCAGTTGAGGGGCAGTTGTTTAGTATCATAATAGGTCATGAAGGAAGCCATTTGTACAGCATTATGGAATAGATCCTCCTGCAGAAGCTCCTCCAGGTGGTGTCGTCGAGGCTGGTGTGTTCCTGCAGTCTCGGGTCTTGTGCCGTCTTTCCATCGTCGTTGTGAGGTGTTATATTATTACCCTGTTTTATGGGTAGTGAAAAGGTAAAAAAACACACACACACACACACACACACACACACGGGGTATTTAAACATTCGGATGAAAAATGTCACGATGCAAACAAACCAACCTAACGATCCAAGGTAAGGCATGTTGTAAGTGTGTGTGTGTTTGCGTGCGTGTGTGTGTGTGCGTGCGTGCGTGCGTGCGTGCGTGTGTGGCCGAACTTGTGTTAATACTTGGTTAAAAAAAACAACAAAAACATATAACAAGGTGTATCTACATTACATTACGATATAATAGGTTTCTGCAACGTAAAACATAACAACCGGTTTATCTACTTGATTACACGCAACAACACAGTAACTACACAGACGCATAAACTATCCTAAAAAGGTAATTAATATATAATGTCCCTTATCCATTATTTTGAGTATGAGTTAATAATTTTTTTCTTTGTTTGCGTTTTTTTTATCATCTTTTGGGAGGTGTTGGGGGGTATGTGGTGGGCCTCATGATCCGCCCACCTCATCCACCACACCACACCCACCTACGCATCCACCCACCTACCAACCCATCCACCACACCCACCCACCCCACCCATCTACCAAGCATACCCAACCACCCACACTACACCCACCATTCACCCACCCCACCATCCACGCCCACCCACGCCCACCCACCCACCCACCCGAGTGATTGATGGTTATCGCCAGTTTCCGTGAGCCATAATCCCTCTAGATTGATCGCGGTAGTTGGTGACGGTATCTCGACTCCCAGCGACGGTGTATATATATATAATACACCTTACCTTACCTGGTGGCTTCAGGGCTGGGAAAGAATGACGTCCACGCTTCCGCTATGAATAATAATGCTTGTTTACCTTCTAGGATGATGATGATGATGATGATGATTACCTTCTAGGATGTTCAGGAGAGTGTTTGTGAAGGATGATGATGATGATGATGATTATGATGATGATGATGATGATGATGATGATGATGATGATGCTTATAGTCACATCATGGACGGGGTGGTGAGATGAGACTTTAGAAGTTTAGAGGAAGATCATTTGGAGTTTTTACGCGTAACAGTTGTGGTCAGTCGCTGCCTGGTGGTACACGTCACTGAAAGATCAAGGACAAGACGCACATGAATAATTACTGTATGTCCTCCCTGTGTCCAGCTGTACTAGATAGTTACAGAGGTATTACTGCTTTTTTATTCTCACTCTGAAAAGACGTGTTATGATACGTTGGTTTGAGTCCATTTGTCTCTCCCATTGGTGTGTGTGTGTGTGTGTGTGTGTGTGTGTGTGTGTGTGTGTGTTTGCGCGCCTGCGGCCACCGGTCTTCCTATCCCACTTTCTGTGAAAGTGCTTGCGTGAGTGCGTTCGTCCGTGCATGTGTTCTTCGTTGCAGTTGGAATGTCATCTTCATTTAGGGTTGTTGAATTGTCACTCGCATTGATTTACGGGTTCATTGAGGACTAAGGCTGATCCATATTGATGGCGAGATTAAAAGATGAAGGTTAAAAATAGCCGTAAATATTGTCGTGCGGCCGCCAGTGGTACCGTGGCCACAGCTGGCAGGCTCCGGCTGCCTGGCGTCTAGTTAAAACTATTGCTTGACTCTGAGGGGCCTGGGTAAGCCTCCAAACCATGTAGCATGTTGGTAATGATGACGGTATTCAGGTCGACTGCTGACGTGATTCTAAGAAGGACTGCAAAATGTAATTGTCATATGGTGAGTCAGCAAGAAACTGGCGGAGAGAAAGCACTAGTCGCAAACTCAGCGAGCGAGCAGCAGTCACACAGTATCGATTCTGCGAGTCTTAAAATGATTTAACTTAAAATGTCACTGTTTATGATATATCAATAAATGGAATGGCCCCTAAGACTGGACTGGTGAGCTCCGCGAAGCATCGATTCAACTTTTTCACGTCTTTAATATTTTATATGAATTGTAGTCATGAGGTTGACGGTGGCGAATACCTTGTGTCGTCACTCCTCATAACGTGCATGTGACGTGGGTACAGATAATGTGTGTTAGTGGAGCTGGCTGAGGATAAACAGGGTGTTATGAGCCAGTGTTTATACTAGTGATTTAGTAATGTATGTTTATGGACCTTGTTATTGTCTTTGTTTACTGAGGGAGCCTGATATTACGAGGTGTACAGTAGTATAAGACAAAGATGGTTAGGTTAGGGGACCCGGTATCAAGTTCATGTTAACCCGATTAGATGTTGTAACAAACTTATCCATAACTGGTTCAGATTACTACAAGTGAACTGTACGTCTGACAGCCTGCACGTTCACCATGTTACGCCACAAAAGTACTTAACAAGGTCCGTGTTCGCTCCTGTAATTGTTGGCAATATTATGAATTTATGTAAGCAGAAAGACCCAATTAGTACACTCATTTGTCTCGTCCTCGTGCACACTCACGCAGGGATCCACATACATACATACATACATACATACATACATACATACATACATACATACATACATACATTAGAATTCCCATAAAATGTGCACATAGTTTAATGTATGGATAATTCACCATGATATGAATCAACTTACTAAGTACATAATAAAAAATACACTACATTATAATTAATTTATTGATTTATTGTTGCCAGTGGTCTGTCAGTCAGAGGCACCCCCTCCTAATTACATGAATTGTAAGGGTTCACACACACACACACACACACGCACGCACGCACGCACGCACGCACGCACGCACACACACACACACACACACACACACACACACACACACACACACACACACACACACACACACACACACACACACGCGCGTGATATTTATGTCTTTAAT